AAAAATCAAAAGTTTAAAAACCTCTGAGTGCTTTTCAAAATGCAGTAAATAAAATAAAACTTTAAACATATTTAGGTAGAGCTTAATAAATGACTTGAACTAATCAAATAAATTTTGAATCTATCTGCCTAGGTAGGTTATGAGCCAATTCATTCAAAATTATTACTGTAAAATATATTTATTTAAATACAAGTTTATTTAAAAGCTGTTTTAAAAATATCTTTCTTTTTTATCTCAGAAAAATTCTTATAATATATTCTCTAATTTTTTATTTTTAATTAGATCCTAATTAATTAGTAAACAATGACAGTAAATCGACTTAACCACATTTACCCCCTCAAACTTGATGGGAAAAAAGAGGGCGGGTGGAAGAGGAGCCGTGCAAGAAAATTTACTTAACGCGCGGAGAGAGACTGACTAGCTGATGGCTTCGTCGATCTGCCTGTGGGCTCGACCACAGAAAGCGATGGCGTCGCGCTCGCGCCCACTCAAAAGTTCAAGAATCCCCAGCCACAGCTCTCATATCCTCGTGTGCTCGGTGTGAGAGCGATGGGCAGGATGGTTCCTCTTTCCCCCCCGCTTTCCATTCGCTGTCTTATAGGGACGAGGGTCAGGGGAGCTTACAGCGGAGATCGGTGGTTGATTCTCAAGAGTGATAGTGAAGCCAATACTACCGCAGCATGTGTTGTGTATGGTCGGATCTCCAAATAATAAATATTGTATATACTTATAATTATTTAATTTTACAAATGAAAATTTCAAATCTATTTTAAAAAAAATTTTAAGTACAAAAAATTCTTGAATTAAAATTTTTGATGCTAGGAGGTGCTTTACAAAGGAATAAGAAAATTGTTTCAAATAAAATCTTAGTTATTTTGATTGTAAAAAGTATATTTTCATCACAATAATTTTAGAAAAATAATGAGAGAGCACTAAGAAAATAATAATAAAATTAAATTGTGATTACTATTTAAAAGATAAAGTAATTAAAAAATTGTCCTAAATAAATTCTAAAATTGATACATATGATTTTTTTTTTTCATACAGAAATACGTCTAACAAAATGATAATATTTGCTATAATTGGTTAATACACGGAATCAGTACCCAACATGGATGTTAAACTTCAGAGATACCTCAACCATAATTTTTTTTTTTTTATTTTTAACCATACGATTTCAATACACTTGAAGTGAGTGATTACAAATCACAATAAAATCTATTTTGTACCTTCGTGAAATGGAATTACAATATTTTCAAATGCTTGATTTGTAATATTTTATATATTGATTTGAGTTTGACGGTGTAAATCAGTTGAGTCAAGCTCGCAACAAGTCTAACTCGAGCTCTACTTGCGAGCCAAATCTCAAGCTCGAGCTCAACTCATGCCATTGAAACGAGATCATTGAGTGGCTCATTCGAACTCCGTCGTGTCCGCTTCTGTGTCCAAGCAAGCATGCATTCGAGCTCCATCTCTCACATCCCAGGTCCGACCTCTGTCCTGCGTGTTCGGGTCCAACTTCTATTCCGAAGTCCGAACTCCCTCCTTGTTCGGGTCCTGCGTGCTCGAGTCCGAACACGTCCCGCGTCCAAACTCGAGTTCCCGCCAGTCTTCCGCGTTCTTGCCTAACATTTCACGTTCACGCCTTCCGCCTTCCGTCTTCGTGAATCACGCTCGATATTTCGGTTCCCGCCAGGGATCCAAGCCGGCTTGTGAGTAATCGACCCGAGCTTTGGTGGATTGAACTCGGTCTCAATTATACAACGAGCTTGTAATTCTGCTCGAGCTCGACTCGCGAGCCCGAGCTAGCTTGCGAGTCGGCTTGACTTGGTTGAACCTCTATTTGAGCTCAACAAGAATATAGTTAAAAAAAAACCTATATTAAAGAGCACCGTCATTTTAATAACGGGTTAGGCGTTAAACAACTGTATCAGATGCAAAGCGCATGCAATGACTTTGCATGGGACAACGATGGCATAAATTCTTTTGTTCCTTGTGATCGATTTGCAGACAACCATAGGGTTTAACGTATCATACCTTTTAATGAATTTGCAGAGCTTTGATAATGGGTAGGACCTCTTCGAACCATACGCTATAAATTTTGCCTAATGTGGGGAAGTCATTTAATTACTTCTCTCTCCGGCTTAGAACACTGAGCTTAATTTGGCAGAAAAGTATTGTTTGCCAACGTTTTTTTGACAATTAATATATGTCAAAAAATATATGTAAATATGCGTGTTAGAATTGCAATATAAATTTGGAATAAAAATTAAATGAATATCACAGAATAAATATACATATAAGACATATGAGATATGACTCATTAATCAAACCATCCACTTGATAAGATATCGATCATATATGTTACTTTATTTAATTTATATAGAGTATCTAATCAGTAATTAATCATCTATTATGAAGATGAAGAACGTTGGACGTGAAAAGGAAGACATTGTCGATTGTATATAATCATTAATAACTTCTAAAAAAAATTCGAAACTTTCGTTCTCTTTCAAAGTATATAATCATTAAATAATAACTTTTAGTACTATTATTTTAATTTATGATAAGAAGTGACATTTTAATCATATTTTTAAAGTTAATAGTCAAGCATTATGAAAATAATGTGATTATTAATAGTTTAACTAAAAGTTAATTTTCTTATAAAGTTTTAGTGTCAAAGTATATATGATGTTGATGGATAGGAACTTAGGATTTTGATAATAATATTCAAGACATTTATCAAATAAGTTAGCACCAATGCTAAAATTTAATTTTGGTTATATTTTTTATATAATTGTGACTAAATAGTTATCTTTAATCATAGATATATTTAATACATAATTAATAGTTACTCATTAATTAGAACAATATGTTCTCAAGTATTAAAAAGGATTTATAAGAATTTTGAACAATATTCCCCATTACATGTAGGAGTGAAGACATTGTCGATTGTATATAATCATTAATAACTTCTAAAAAAAATTCGAAACTTTCGTTCTCTTTCAAAGTATATAATCATTAAATAATAACTTTTAGTACTATTATTTTAATTTATGATAAGAAGTGACATTTTAATCATATTTTTAAAGTTAATAGTCAAGCATTATGAAAATAATGTGATTATTAATAGTTTAACTAAAAGTTAATTTTCTTATAAAGTTTTAGTGTCAAAGTATATATGATGTTGATGGATAGGAACTTAGGATTTTGATAATAATATTCAAGACATTTATCAAATATAAGTTAGCACCAATGCTAAAATTTAATTTTGGTTATATTTTTTTATAAAATTATGACTAAATAGTTATCTTTAATCATAGATATATTTAATACATAATTAATAGTTACTCATTAGAACAATATGTGCTTAAATATTAAAAATAATTTGTAAGAATTTTGAACAATAATTCCCCATTATATGTAGGGGTGTTAATATTTGGCACGATTCGAAAATCTGATTCGAACCCGACACGAAAATTTCGGGTTATGGTCAACCCGTTTGTGAAATGGGTCAAGTATGAGTTCAACAAATCGACCTGTTTCAAAAATTGGGTCGGGTTTGAGTTGACTCACAAATTTGGGAATGACTCGGATTCCGACCCTCTGTACACGAAATGCCGAAATAAAAAATCCCGAGTCCTACCGACACTCGTGTCTAACCCGTCTGCTCGCTGTCATGTATGCCCGCTGTCGCGTCCATGCTGGCATAGTCTGCCGGCCCGCCGTAGCATCGAGTGTCCGCGTCACATTTGCATACGTCGCGTTTGTCTGTGTCGTCGTCACGTTGAATGCCCGCCCCACCCTGAGTGCCCGCTATAGCATCGAGTCCTGTCGTCGCCGTCGACTCGCTGAGTAGTTGATGCCTCACCCTGCAACGGGTCAGGTCGGGTCAACCTGACAACCCGCACAGGTCGGGTCCGGGTTGAAAAAGCTAACCCATATGCAAAAATGGGCCGAATTTGAGTTGGGTCAACTAGTGTTCGGTCAGTTTCGGATTTAATCGAAATCTGACCCGTGACCCATTTTTGACAGCCCTAAGATTTATATGGCTTTCAAATATTTTTATTCAAATCACGGTAACAGTGTTGTCTTCCAACAATGCTCAGCATAACGGCCGCATAAAGCTTCGGAGGTGTTTATGTTATTAATCCACTTATCACAACGCAGTTATATATGTTCGAACCAAGCATGATAAGTTTCTTTTTTTTTTTTTTAATTGCAACAAACGTTGTTTGAGTTGAAAGAAGTTAGAATTATAACGATTTTATGTTATTTATATATCCACACACACATTACATACATGAAAATGGATGCTTTGAACGAAGTCAGCAAAAGAAGCCTGTGCTCATAGATAATTTGCTTTTATGATTATAAAAATTAGCGGCCATAATTAAATAATTATTTACATGAATTTTCTTAAAGAATTAACATTTTAAATGATTTTTGTTCATCCTCGTAGCCGAATTATGACATGAAAGAGTCAAATCTTCCAAGTAAAATAAGCCGGAAAGTGAGAGGAAACTATGCACAAGAAAAGTTCAGTCGCAGGAATAAAATCATTTTCCCATTAATCCAAATCTTAGTAAAGAGAACTTGAACTTGATAAAAATTAATTCTATGGAGAAATCACAAAATAAAGGATGAAGAATTAAGAAGAAGAAGCAGCACGTAATAAAATAAAAAAGAAAAGAAAAAAAAAATGAAAGTGATTGCAACAATACATTATTACTATAATCTATTAATCAAAGAATGACTCTATATAACTCTTAAATTTATAAAAAAATTAAATAAAAAACACTTTTGGATTAGAAATTTGATTAGGATAAATTTCAAATCAATTAAAATTTATACTACACTTATTCTAAAATAAATTCATCAAAATTCTTTGATGCGAATACTGTAATCTAAAATTAATTTTCCTAATTTTTTTATAAAGATATCCTAACCAAAAATATTTCTTTCCAATGATATCGCCCATGAAAATGCCGCTCTTTTCTTCACTCATCAAACTTCCATAAATTCTCCCCTTCCAAAACTCCCGCTGATTCATCCGACTGCGGCGGGCTCAGCCTCGGCGGACTCATCAACATCCCCTCCGCCATGTTCATCAGCAACTGCGGCATATCGAACAATTCGTCCTCATCCACAAAATCACCTAACTCCTCCACCCGCGCCTCGGAAGCCTCCACCGCCCCACTCCGTGCCTCCAGCTCTGCAGCCGCTGCCGCTGCAGCGGCCTGTATATCAGCCGGCGAAACCGACAAGGGCGCAGAACGCGACCGAGCCGCGTCAGGAAAGTTAAGCACTGCGTCAGCTCCACGTAGCGCGAGGGCCGCCACGTCGTACGCAGTGGCAGCCATTTCTGGTGTGGGATAAGTGCCTAGCCAGATGCGATTGGACTTGCGCGGCTCGCGGATTTCCGATACCCATTTGCCACTTCGCCGGCGAATGCCGCGGTAGGGCGAGGGGCGGCCGGTGGGGTTGGGGTCAGGGTTTTCGGGGGCCTGTACGTGGGAAGGAGGAGTGGAATCGGCCATGGAAGAGCTGGATGGTCTTTTGTTCTGGGAAAAAAGTGGGGAATGAACGTATATTGTGTATAAGGTTAAGGGAGAGAGTGGAGAGTGCGCGGCGACGTAGCGACCGCGGGGGCGTTAGTGCTGGTGATTTTTTATTTTTATTATTATTATTATTATTTTCTATGTGCTGGAGCCGGCTATGCCTTTGCTGCCACGAGGGAGATTTGAATGAAGGAGAGAGAAAGATCGATGCTGGATTAGAGGCTGGTATTTGTTTGCGTTGAGTTTTATAATTAGCTTGGATCTGATTTCTTCATAAATTTGTTTATTTAAGGAATTGTAAAACATAGAATTTACCCAGCTGTTTTTGACTTGATGAAAATTTGATTATATTTATATATAAATTGAAAAAAATATATATTTATGCATATTTTCATCATATATAAAATTTAATATTCTTCTTTTATACGAAGATCCAACACATACGCAGATAATAAAAAGGGGTGTAACTTTGTAAGAGTCATAAGAATGACTAGAAGTTTAATGTGTAAATCCCAAGGGGGGGG